GGGAGGGGGGGTGTCTTACCTCCTCTATCGAGTCGGTCATTGAGGAATTTTGCTCCGTGTGCGTCCGAGTCTGGTTCGGCTTAGCTTGTTGCGATGTGATGCGATTTCTGACCCGATCGTGCGTGGTGGTTGGTCGCACTTTTCCCCACACACAAATATGTCCGTACTTAGGCTTGTTTCTGCTCTCTGTTGGCGATGATCTGCCTTGTAGTAGATCTAGTAACTTCTTCACTATCACTGCAGGGGTCTGAACTACAGTTGTGGTTTAGCTCTTTGGCTCGCACGTAGAGGACGTGACTTGTAGTTTCTTGCGATGTTTTATCGAGTCTGTCCGTTTTCCTGTTTTAAATATTTCCGTCCCGAACAACCCAATATACAGTCATTGTGAGTGGGTGGTTGGCGGGTGCCCTGGGGTGGTGTGCTTCTTCTTTACTATGAAACATCTATCGTCTTTATCTCCCCTTCTTCTTTTTTTTATGTTTGTTACTCTCTTGTAACGCCCAATCTTCTGGCGCTCATATGGCCTTATGCAGTTGCGAGCGCGGTAAAACCTTTACTAAAACTAAAAAGTCTTTGTGAGTGGTTAGCAGGTGCTCTGGTGTGGTTTGCCCCTTCTGTCCTATCAAACGTATTATCGTCTTTATCACTCACCCAACTTTTCTCTGTACGTCACTCTCTAGTAACCGTCTAATCTTCAGCACTTATATTATCTACCTGTGTTGCACATGCTGTAAAACACTTATTAAACTAAACTAAGCTAAACTAAACTAAACTAAACTAAACTAAACTAAACTCAACTAAACTAAACTAAACTAAACTAAACTAAACTAAACTAATCTTAACTAAACTAAACTAAACTAAACTAAACTAAACTAAACTAGACTGAACAAGTTATTCTTTATTCGCATGATCGAGGCAGTGCGCCTTTTTTATTGATCTACCATGTTCCGATGGAGACATGGAATATTTACAGCAACGTTAAGTACAAGTTAAGCAGACTTTAATGATCGAGAATGCATAATGGTATTAATTCCTGTATCATGAACACTTTAGGAAAGGAAAAGGGGCTGCTTTGACGAGTTGTGGCGTTTGTGATCTCTACAAGCTGCTTGCTAGATTTCCTTTACTTTTCTCTCTTTACCAAGGTGGCTACCTACCACACTTTAATTAACTTCGCTTCCTCCTTGGGTGTCAAAGGCCATCATCAGTTTATGATGGACGAACGATTATTATTTAGCTATTCTGTACATCCTTTTAGTGTGTGATGATCCCAGCCCTTCTTCTCCTGTTTCCGTCACTACTTTGACCCCAAAAGGCTCGCCGGATGAAAACAGCGCACGTTTGCAAACCAATCATGCCCTATCAGCTTCTCCTTCAGGCTGCCCGGGCGCGTCACCGGGTGGGGATTTCCAAGTTTCCACTTTGGGCAACACTCCACTCAGCATTTATTCTGTCTCTTTGTCGGTTGTCTGTCTGTCTGTCTGTCTGTCTGTCTGTCTGTCTGTCTGTCTGTCTGTCTGTCTCTCTCTCTCTCTCTCTCTCTCTCTCTCTCTCTCTCTCTCTCTCTCTCCCTCCCTCCCTCCCTCCCTCCCTCTCTTTTTCTTTCGCATTAGAGCACGTTCTTCGCTCAGTAGCAGTCTTGCTGGATGCGAAGCGGGCAGCGGTGGTTCAAATCCATAATGGGGCTTTCGTCCAGTGATTATTTGATTAATTTGTTTCCTTCGTTATGCGTTTGCTCCTTCCTAGACACCATCATAAATCAGAGCCCCTGGCTAATAAGTTACCTTGCCGCAGTGAAAAGGGCGTTTAACTCGTAGCACATTATACTTATCTCTCTCAGACCCCCCCCCCCCCCCTCCTCTCTCTCCCTCTCTTTTTTTCTTCTTTATTTTCACTACTTTCCCTTTACTCTCTGCCTCGCCTCTTTCCCTCTCTCTGTCAAGATCTGCACAACAGTATTCCTATAATATGCATTTCTGTCTGTCTCTCCTCTCACTCATTCCCCCTTTCTCTCCCCCTCTCTTCCTCTGTGCACACGTCATTGAAGAGTATGCTTGTACTTGTACGTGTACCGTGAATATGATCCCTTTATGCCCGATCCCTGTCCTTAAGCCACGAGTGTGGCAATTGAGAGTTTTAAGACGCATATCAGGTAAGTGGAGTAGGTGTTTGCCTGTATGGAGGAAGGGAAAGGAGGAAGGGTAGAGGGAAAGGAGGAAGGAGTGGGAGGCATGAATTTAAGGGGAGGAGGCGTATGTGTATATGTGTGTGTGTGTGTGTGTGTGTGAGAGAGAGAGAGAGAGAGAGAGAGAGAGAGAGAGAGAGAGAGAGAGAGAGAGAAGGAAAGAGAGACAGAGAAGGAGGGGGGGAGACTTCTGTTCTTCGAAAACGAGTCGAAAGCAAATTTAGAGCTAAAAAAATTAATCATGTCACATGTCGCTTTCACTATGAATTACTGTAATTCCCCATGTCTCAAATGGAAAGGGTCGTGGAAAGCTGAGGTGGAAAATTTGGCTCGAAGATAAAACTTAAGACCGAGCAAGATGTGGCATTCTTCTGAAGTTTGGGACGAGAAAACGATTAACCCGTTCCCTTCCGAGTTTGTAAAATCTTATGAAACATGCCAAGAGAGTCTCGAGCCGGGTTGTGTCAGGGTTAATCTGTGTCTTCGATTGTCGCTGGAGAGAGAGAGGGTTCGAAACGCCCAGTGAAAGATAACAAGACTTTTGCTCGACTTAGACTAGAGAGAGTGGGAGAAAACACTGAGGCTGTGAGAGACAGAGACAGATAGATAGATAGAGAGAGTGGGAGAGGGAGAGGGGGGGGGGGAGAAGACAACATAGGGAAAGAGAGAGTGTGGGAGAGAGAGGGGGGAGACGACATAGGGAAAGAGAGTGTGTGTGGGAGAGAGAGTGGGATAGAGAGTGTATGGGAGAGAGAGTGGGATAGAGCGAGAGAGAAGGAAAGATAGAGAATGTGGGAGAGAGAGAGAGGGAGCGAGAGAGAGAAGGAAAGATAGCGAGTGTGGGAGAGAGAGAGAGAGAGTTTGTTGCGTGCCCATTCACCGTGTCCTATCACCTAGAGTTCCCCGTGACATAGGTCCCCTGTCGTTTGTAGCCAACAAATTAAGAAGGTGAATGCGCGCGACGTCAAACTGCTGTTGGGGAAGGACTGAAACGTTAAGTCCTCGTAAGTACTGTGTACATACACGTATTTGTTTCGGTCTAACAGAGTTGTGGGAGAGCTGAGCCGGTGTGTGTGTGTGTGTGTGTGTGTGTGTGCGTGTTTATGTGTGTGTGCGTGTTTGTGTGTGTGTGCGTGTTTATGTGTGTGTGCGTGTGTGTGTGTGTGTGTATGTGTGCGTGTTGATGTGTGTATGTGTGTGTATGTTGTGCCAATCTGTGCCTATCTGTTAACTTGCACAGGAAAGAAAAGGGTGCTAATGCTTTTAAGAAATAAACACACGGAAGGGGGGGGGGTGAGAGAGGGAGAGAGAGAGAGAGAGAGAGAGAGAGAGAGAGAGCAGGAAGAGGGGGTGGGTCTTCTTTTGTGTTAGTGTGAACAAAAGTGCGTGCGAGGGAAAGAACAATATCTTTTGGGTTTATAGTAGCTAGATCTATAGAACGTTTGTTGTTCTTGTTATATGAGTGTCTGTGTTTTTGTGTGCATGTGTTTGTGTGTGTGTGTGTGTGCGCGCGCGCACGTGTGCGTTCGTGTGTGTGTATGTTTTGTGTGAGTGTGTGTGACAGTGCTGCGGTGCCACCAGTGACCAGCTGACTGGCTGTCCGGTTCCCCCAGCGTGGGCGTCCCCCCACCCCCACCCCACCCCCGTTCATATATGTGATATACCTAACGGCAAAATGATGTCAGCGAGCGACTTTGTGCCCACGCACCTGTACAACACAATCTGGTCACGCTCGGGGTACCCCCTCCCTCCCCTTTTTTCTTTCTCCTCTTCACCGACTTGACTTCCCCCCAGCTCCTCCTCCGCCACCGCTGACTGCGCTGTTTATATTTTGATGCTCGGGCCCCGTGTCGCCACACTCTCTGTCTTTTTCTCTCTCGCGCGACATCTCAATCGCTTGCCGCGGGAGTCCAGTCGAGCCGAGCTCTCCCGAGTCTTAGTTAGGCTAGAGGAAAGGAACATCTGTCCGTGTTTTGGTCAGGTGTGGCCGAAGGTAAGACCGGAGACGGCTGGCGGTGGTCAGTTTGTGGAGAAGAGAAGATAACACAAGCGAAGTGACCGGTGACCATTTCTATACTTGGATTGTAGCAATGTTCTGATGGAGAAGTGCCGAGTGGTTGTTTTGCAGTGTGACCCTGAATTGTCTTTCTGTGTGCGGACTGGACTGGACTGTGCATCTTGAGGGACTTCTTTTTTCGAGGGTTTAAGAAAATGCCTGTATGAACTTTGGATTTATGCTCTGTTTTACATTGTATGTACAAAATGAACCATTTCTAACTATCAGGGCTTTAAACGGGCATGATATCTACTACGGTTACTACTTCGGTAACTTTGTGAACTGAAAGCCAACTTCTTAATTAATAGTATGTGAATCTGGAATGGCCTAGTTCTAGAAACAGTGTTATGATAAAGAGTGTGCTATGTCCTGTTCATCAACTTAAGGCAGTTTTGCAATTGGATACTGTGTCACCTTTGGCGTGTGTTTGGCAATGTTTGTGATCGGCGAAAACACTGGTGCGAGGTAGTTTGTCCGTCGCCCAACTAGATTTATGCTTTGGCGCTGTTGGTGATAAAGCGACTTGGAGAAGCATTAGATAACACTACGTGTGTTTGATTTACTGTCTTCTGGTGACATTGAAAGATAAATTGTGGTTTAAAGGAGCTTAAAACTCACACAAAGGACTGAGCTCAATTAACAGTTGTACGGTTACTCAGTAAGGTCCGAGTTATGGTCGTCAACGAGAGAGTGTGGTCTGGTTTTGTCTCACTGTCTGCGACCTGAGCCTCCTCGAGAGGTTTTCTGGCGTCTACTCCTCCTTATCGGCGACGCAGTTTTGATGAACCCAGGCGCTTGAATTTGATTACCTCTACCCTTTCTGTGATGATGAGAGTGGGAAGACCGTGTTTTGATTTATGAGATGTGGACCAAACGAGCGCGAGAGTCCAATCATGGTATTCAGCAGTTCCTGTGTTGATCGATAGAGGCCCCTACTTTCCCCCCGATACAGTCCCGTGATACGGCCTCGTACGGACCGCCTGTTGGAGCGCCAGGAATCTGAACGGTACGTTACGCTCTGACAGATTTACGAGGCTCCCGGCGAATTCGATACTGTGTGAAGGATGTGATAGCCTCTCAACGAGGCCCCGGGATAGCCAGTATTAGGGGACATTTGCCCTGACCCTTTCAGCTTTGTCCGCTTCTCCAAAGTGCCCTGACACCGCATGGAATACGTTGGAGAAGGTTTCTATAGTGTAAGTGGCCAATGTTCTTGTCAGAGTGTCCAGGATTCATTTACGCGACACTGTTTACACCGGCACGCCAAGACGTGCGGGGGACGTCGGCTTTTGTACACTTGGGAGATTTTCACATTTCTAAAGAATTCTGTTGAGTGGACTTAGAGTATGTGTGAGGCTTCTGTGAAATGACTGCTTTGTGTTTTTGTATCTGGTAAAACGGTAAACTTGACAACTGCAACAAGGCATTTTCCCTAAATTGTCTATGTCATTGTCATATCGCCACACAGAATGACGTTGCGTCGAGTTTTTCTATTGTAAATATTCATGAAGCAGGTTTTCATCGTAGTTAAAAAGAACCGGTACACTTACACACGGGGGATGTGTGCTGTTACCCAAGCGTCTATAAAATAAATGCCTTTGTGCGGCCAATGTTATACCGGCACGTGACAGATGATCTCTTTACTTCGTCGTCTCTCGCCTGCGATTCACGGCTCAGTAAATAGGTAAGCGCTCGCTGATTCACGACTGCAGGAGCCGGTATCGGGTGCAGCGCTGACTGACATCGGAAATGCCTCGCGTGACAGCGGCCAAGGGAATTTCAGCAAACTGAAACCTGCCCGTCAGTCTGTCTGTGGATGCCCTGCCCTTGCCGCCATAGCTACACAGCCTTCTTGTTGTGGCTGTCTTTCTTGTGTGTCTGTGTTTGTGTGTATGTAACTGCAAGGCCCCTCTATTTGAACCTGTCTTCTGCTAGCTGTAACTACATGCCAACCGTGACTGATGATGGGACGCTGTGACGCAGTTTGAAAGGTCCCCGGCTTATTACACACACGCTCCACGGTTACAGTCTAGAGACCTGTGTTGCGTATACCGTGTTTCTAGTCACAAGTGGCTGAAAGAGACAGATGGTTTGATTACATCGTGTCCCGGGGCGTCCTCGGTGCTCTCGGCTTCCGATGTTCCGTGTTATCTCTTCTCGGCCAATGGATTCAGGTCTCTAGGAACAGTAAGATGGTATGTCCTGTCATGTCAGAGTGTTTGCTGTGGATTGTTTCCACTTGGTAATGACTTTGGCGAACAAAGTGTCGGATATGGTCATAATAACGTCTGCAGCTGTAAGTCTGTTTACACTTTGTCAATAAGTATTGCAGTCTCGCTGATTGTGCTTTTGTAGCTGTTTTTTGCTTGGCCTGGGATTATACGTCCGAAGACTGTTGTAAACATGCTTTTTATGAGCCATCTTTCTTTTATTGTGTTTGTCAATGAAAACATAATTTTGATTGTGTATCTGTCATAGTCACGAAGTCTTTGTTCGGACACAGAACGTCTTTCCCCCATCTTATTGGACGGTTGTTGATTCTGAGACCCAGCCTCGAGAAAACTAACTCCACATCAAAATTGTGTTGAAACGGCTTAAGGATTGAAACAAAACACAAACAAACAACTTGAACGAGAAAAAAAAATCAGGCTTAAATCACAGTGTGTTATATATAAGACAATCTCCATGCTCGCTACGAGAATAAACCACATGGCACCTATGGCATCGTCACACAGTGTCAAACCCTACGCCGTGTTGGAATTTGACAGTCTGATTGCCACGGCTTTATCGGGTCATTACCTCCCTGACCGCCACACGTCATCTCCTTCTAGTGAGTTTGTTCTGTCGGACATATCGAGCGGACACTCACAGCGTGAGAAAAGCCATGTTCCGAACTGGACGCCAGAAGTGCCTACATGGACATCGGGAGACCCAAGTTGGGCGTCAGAAGGACCAGTTAAGACTTCTGAAGGACCTGGGTGGATATCGGAGAAGTCTAACTGGACGTCAAACGGGCTAAACGGAAGGTCAGGGGACTCTAATTGGACGTCTTCAGAAAGGACAGACTGGTCGTCACCGTCCTGGGCGA